GCAAGGGGATGGAGGGCTGGAGGAGGAGGAGGAGCACCGGCGGCAGGGCAGTGCTGTCCAGCGGGGTGCGTGTGTGGCCTGGCTGGCGCCCCCAACCATCACCCCATCCCGCCCTGCCTGCTGCCCACACGCTCACACCTCCCCGCACCCCTGCAGGGCGGCAAGGGGTACGGCGCCACCAGCGGCGTGGGCAAGCTGCAGAACCTGCGGGTGGCGGTGCAGCGGCGCTGGAACAACACGGTCAGCGACACCAGCCGGCAGCAGGTGCGGGGTGTGTGGGGGTGGGGGGACGCCTGGGCGGGGTGGGTTATGCCTCTGCCCCCTTGCCCCCTGGGATGCCTGCCAACACATGCCACCAGCCCAACCACACCCAGCACACGCTCGGGGAGTCTGCAACACAGTCCCCCGGCGTGCTCCCGGGCTGCTCATCCATGCCTCCCGCCTGCCTGCCTGCCTGCGCTCCGCTCCCTCCCTCCTCCCTCAGGCCATGGAGCTGTTCCTAGGGCTGCGCATCCACGACGGCGGCGGCCAGAAGGGCTACTTCCCCGGGCTGCAGGTGAGCAGGTGGTGGGCCGGGGCACCTAACTGCCAGACCCTGGCGTCACAAGTTTGGTGGGGCACGCAGGCATGCTGGGTGTGGCAGCATGTGTTGCTCCCCCGCAGGGTGTTGAGTGCTCGTTGCGCTGCGTCGCCGCTGCTGCCTGCGGTACAGGTGGTGTACCGCGACAGCACGCAGCCGCTGCTGGGAGGCATGGAGGCGTTCGAGGCGGCGCCGCTGCCGCCTCTGCCGGCCAGCCACTCTCGCCACGCCTCGGGCTCGGCCGTGCCTGGCGCGTTTGGGCCGCTGGCGGCGGGCGCCCCGGCTGCCGGGGCGGCGGCCTTGCAGCAGCAGCAGGAGGCTGGGCAGGGCCCTGCATCGCTGGGTGAGCAGGAGGAGTGCGACAGGGCGCACGCTGTGCCTGGCGTGCCTGCTGTGGAGCACGACGGTGTGCTGGGGGTGCGCCAGTCGCTGCTGGACTTGGAGCCCCTCTCCGACCTGCTCCCAGAGCAGCAGCAGCAGCAGCAGGCGATGCTCCCCGGCGGCGAGCCGGCGGCGCGCGGCAGCGGCAGTAGCAGCCTGGTGCCCGGCGGCGGCAGCGGCGGCAGCGGCAGCGGCGGCGAGCCCTGGGCGCCTCCGCTCACCACGGCTGGCGCGCCCTCGGCGGCCCCGCCAGCGGCAGCCTTTGACCCGCTGGGAGCTGTGGGGCAGCCAGGTGCGCCTGCCCAGCCTGCCCGGCAGCAGCAGCAGCAGCAGATGGATGAGCTGATTAGTTTGGATGACGACAGGCCGGCGACAGCAGCAGCACAGGCCCCGCTGGGGAGCGCCCCCGCCAGCGGCGCCGTGCGCTCGCAGTTGGAAGACCTGCTGCTGTGACCCTCTGCGAGCAGCGGCAGCCGCCATGACCTGTACTCTCCTGCTCTGCTGCCTCATCACCCTGCCTGTACCTTGGGCTTGCCCTGAGCAGACGCTGTGATGCCCCGTCAGATGGCTGCAGCTGCCCGCCAGCATTGCTCTGCCTGGAAAGCACACGTGATGCCTTGTGAGGTCAGCTCGCTCGCGTGGTTTACACACGGGTGCAAGACTTGCTGGGGGGAAAAACATCCATGGTACATGCGCCTGGGCGGCGGGGGGAGTACAAGGGCGAGAGAGGAACACTTGGCAGCTGCAGGGTGCTAAAGCAGAGTGCGAAATTGGAGGGATAGGGCGGGGAAGGGTGGCTCCACACCTTACCCACACGACGGAGGAGGCGGAAAAAGAAAAACGGGCTCAATATCGGGAGGAGAGTGTCTCTCAGCAAGGTAAGGAGCGGCGGCGGTATGGGTACAGGGCAGGCCTGGCCGGCGGGCGCGCTCAATGTGCGCGCTGCGCCGTGCCACGCCGGCAGCCACGCACAGGCTTCGGGCTGCTGCTGCTGGTATTGCAGTGATGAGTGGTTGCTGCTGCTGCTGCAGCTCGCGCTGCTACTGGAAGGGCTGCTGGCCGGTGAAGCCGTGCATGAAGCCGGCCGCCGCCGCCGCCGCGTGTTGCTGCTGCTGGTGCTGCTGCATCATGAGCTGGTGGTGCTGCGCGGCGGCCAGCTGCTGCTGCTGCTGCTGCTGCTGCTGCTGCATCTGCTGCTGCTGGAAGAGCGCGGGCAGCTGCGCCACCGCGCTGCTGCCGCGCACCTTGGGCGGGCTGATGTGGTGGCCCGAGGAGCAGCGCCGGAAGCCGGCAGCCGGCCCCGACTGATCGGCGGACATCAGGTGCTCGTCGTCTGAGTGGTGGGCGTCGCTGCTCTCGCTGCCTAGGCCGCCGCCGGTGGGCAGCAGCGGTACCGGGAAGGGCAGCTGGATGGCCGTGGTGCCGCACTGGGCGGCCTGCGCGGCAGCGGGCAAGTGGCAGCAACGGGCGAGTGAGTGGGACTGCTCGATTCAAGCAAGGACTGCTTGAGGCATGGAGCATGGTCAGCTGGGCTGGCTTAGTGCTTGCATGCTGCTGCAAGAGAGAAGTGGCCGCCCGTGAGGAACGCAACCCGGCCGCCCACCTGCAGCTCCTGCCGCAGGACCTCCATGAGGACCCCGGTGGGCACGGCGGGTGCGTTGCCATACTCCTTGACCACAAACTGGGCCACTCGCTCCTGCAAACAGGGGGATTTGAGGTGAAGAGCGAGGGTGAAGCGAGGCTCTGGCGGCGGGCTGCGGCGTGCCAGCCCGTGCCGCGCGCGGCAAGGGCACAGGCCGAGTGCGGAGAGGCACGGAGAGGGGCAGAGGCGCCCGCCTGCCCCCCAGCGAAGTCCGCCCCCACTCACCAGCGCCTGCCTGGCCCCCTGCTCCTCTGCCCGCTTCGTCTGCTGAACGGCTGCGGTGTAGAGCTGGCTGACAGAGTTGGCGGCTGCGGTGAAGGTCGAATACAGCGATTTCTCCGCCTCCAGCGACTCTCCCTTGCGCTTCTTGCTGCCTCCCCGTTGAGTGTTCATGCTGGAGGTGAGTGCAGGCTGGAAATGGGAAATGGAGGGCCAGGGCGAGCGTTTTGGCCAGGGCATCCGAGCTGGCCACAACTCGCCGCACCACGGCCCCTTCCACCCTGGCCTCAGTAAGGCCCAGGTGGCCAGATGCATGCATGCCCGCTTGCGGCTCTCATACCCCACCCCCCAGCACTCACAATGGGTTCATTCGACGCTCTGTGGGGCGCCCAAGGGGCTCACACAAGCAATTGGCAATTGCGGAGCCCTGTGCTCGCCTCTTCCACATCCCTCCCGCCCTCTCCCGTGGCCTACATACATTTCCTCGTGCCTTTATGGTGCCACCAGCGCCAATGGCGCGCACCTGAGCGTCCCAGCAAGGGGTGATGGTTGGCCCAGCCTCTTTCACCCTCTCTCCTTGCGTGCACGCTTCCCAAAATGTTACCAGGTGCGTACTGGGTGATGTGAAGTGAGCAGGCGCCCTGACAACGCCACATACTTGAAGCCTGGAATGCTTGCTGAGCCGCCAGCTCTGCAGGAGCCTCCCTAGCAGGTGTCTGCGCTTCAGCGAACGCTGAATTGTTGCCTCCGATGCGCAGGAGTGGCCGCCGCTACACCGCCGCCCCCACTGCCGCCTCTGTGCGGCGCTTCTTCTGCACCCGATGATGCGAGCCGTTGTTGCGGAGTGTGGTACCATTTCGATTACCAGGCACCGTGGGACCACGCATCTGCACGGACAGGCAAGTATGCAGCATGTTTGCACAAGGGCGGGACCTCCGCCACAGCCACGATGTTGCCGCCATTCGACTTCCCAGCCCCTCACCTTCATTGCCGACTTGT